AGAGAGTGGCGTGAGTGACAGAGAGTGGTGTGAGAGACAGAGAGTGGCGTGAGTGACAGAGAGTGGCATGAGTGACAGAGAGTGGCGTAAGTGACAGAGAGTGGCGTGAGTGACAGAGAGTGGCTTGAGTGACAGAGAGTGGCGTGAGTGACAGAGAGTGGCGTGAGTGACAGAGAGTGGCGTGAGTGACAGAGAGTGGCATGAGTGGCAGAGAGTGGCGTGAGTGACAGAGAGTGGCGTGAGTGACAGAGAGTGGCGTGAGTGACAGAGTGTGGCGTGAGTGACAGAGAGTGGCATGAGTGACAGAGTGTGGCGTGAGTGACAGAGAGTGGCGTGAGTGACAGAGAGTGGCGTGAGTGACAGAGAGTGGTGTGAGAAACAGAGAGTGGCGTGAGTGACAGAGAGTGGCGTGAGTGACAGAGAGTGGCGTGAGTGACAGAGTGTGGCGTGAGTGACAGAGAGTGGCGTGAGTGACAGAGAGTGGCGTGAGTGACAGAGAGTGGTGTGAGAGACAGAGAGTGGCGTGAGTGACAGAGAGTGGCATGAGTGACAGAGAGTGGCGTAAGTGACAGAGAGTGGCGTGAGAGACAGAGAGTGGCGTGAGTGACAGAGAGTGGCGTGAGGGACAGAGAGTGGCGTGAGTGACAGAGAGTGGCATGAGTGACAGAGAGTGGCGTGAGTGACAGAGAGTGGCGTGAGTGACAGAGAGTGGCGTGAGTGACAGAGTGTGGCGTGAGTGACAGAGAGTGGCATGAGTGACAGAGTGTGGCGTGAGTGACAGAGAGTGGCGTGAGTGACAGAGAGTGGCGTGAGTGACAGAGAGTGGTGTGAGAAACAGAGAGTGGCGTGTGTGACAGAGAGTGGCGTGAGTGACAGAGAGTGGCGTAAGTGACAGAGAGTGGCGTGAGAGACAGAGAGTGGCGTGAGTGACAGAGAGTGGCGTGAGTGACAGAGTGTGGCGTGAGTGACAGAGTGTGGCGTGAGTGACAGAGTGTGGCGTGAGTGACGGAGAGTGGCATGAGTGACAGAGTGTGGCGTGAGTGACAGAGAGTGGCGTGAGTGACAGAGAGTGGCGTGAGTGACAGAGAGTGGTGTGAGAGACAGAGAGTGCGTGAGTGACAGAGTGGCGTGAGTGACAGAGAGTGGCGTAAGTGACAGAGAGTGGCGTGAGAGACAGAGAGTGGCGTGAGTGACAGAGAGTGGCGTGAGTGACAGAGTGTGGCGTGAGTGACAGAGTGTGGCGTGAGTGACAGCGAGTGGCGTGAGTGACAGAGAGTGGCGTGAGTGACAGAGAGTGGTGTGAGAGACAGAGAGTGGCGTGAGTGACAGAGAGTGGCGTGAGTGACAGAGTGTGGCGTGAGTGACAGAGAGTGGCGTGAGTGACAGAGTGTGGCGTGAGTGACAGAGAGTGGCGTGAGTGACAGAGAGTGGCGTGAGTGACAGAGAGTGGTGTGAGAGACAGAGAGTGGCGTGAGTGACAGAGAGTGGCGTGAGTGACAGAGAGTGGCGTAAGTGACAGAGAGTGGCGTGAGAGACAGAGAGTGGCGTGAGTGACAGAGTGTGGCGTGAGGGACAGAGAGTGGCGTGAGTGACAGAGAGTGGCGTGAGTGACAGAGAGTGGCGTGAGTGACAGAGAGTGGCGTGAGTGACAGAGAGTGGCGTGAGAGACAGAGAGTGGCGTGAGTGACAGAGAGTGGCGTGAGTGACAGAGAGTGGTGTGAGAGACAGAGAGTGGCGTGAGTGACAGAGAGTGGCGTGAGTGACAGAGAGTGGCGTGAGTGACAGAGAGTGGCGTGAGTGACAGAGTGTGGCGTGAGTGACAGAGAGTGGCGTGAGTGACAGAGAGTGGCGTGAGTGACAGAGAGTGGTGTGAGAGACAGAGAGTGGCGTGAGTGACAGAGAGTGGCATGAGTGACAGAGAGTGGCGTAAGTGACAGACAGTGGCGTGAGAGACAGAGAGTGGCGTGAGTGACAGAGAGTGGCGTGAGTGACAGAGAGTGGCGTGAGTGACAGAGAGTGGCGTGAGTGACAGAGAGTGGCGTGAGTGACAGAGTGTGGCGTGAGTGACAGAGAGTGGCGTGAGTGACAGAGAGTGGCGTGAGTGACAGAGAGTGGTGTGAGAGACAGAGAGTGGCGTGAGTGACAGAGAGTGGCATGAGTGACAGAGAGTGGCGTAAGTGACAGAGAGTGGCGTGAGAGACAGAGAGTGGCGTGAGTGACAGAGAGTGGCGTGAGGGACAGAGAGTGGCGTGAGTGACAGAGAGTGGCATGAGTGACAGAGAGTGGCGTGAGTGACAGAGAGTGGCGTGAGTGACAGAGAGTGGCGTGAGTGACAGAGTGTGGCGTGAGTGACAGAGAGTGGCATGAGTGACAGAGTGTGGCGTGAGTGACAGAGAGTGGCGTGAGTGACAGAGAGTGGCGTGAGTGACAGAGAGTGGTGTGAGAAACAGAGAGTGGCGTGAGTGACAGAGAGTGGCGTGAGTGACAGAGAGTGGCGTAAGTGACAGAGAGTGGCGTGAGAGACAGAGAGTGGCGTGAGTGACAGAGAGTGGCGTGAGTGACAGAGTGTGGCGTGAGTGACAGAGTGTGGCGTGAGTGACGGAGAGTGGCATGAGTGACAGAGTGTGGCGTGAGTGACAGAGAGTGGCGTGAGTGACAGAGAGTGGCGTGAGTGACAGAGAGTGGTGTGAGAGACAGAGAGTGCGTGAGTGACAGAGAGTGGCGTGAGTGACAGAGAGTGGCGTAAGTGACAGAGAGTGGCGTGAGAGACAGAGAGTGGCGTGAGTGACAGAGAGTGGCGTGAGTGACAGAGTGTGGCGTGAGTGACAGAGTGTGGCGTGAGTGACAGCGAGTGGCGTGAGTGACAGAGAGTGGCGTGAGTGACAGAGAGTGGTGTGAGAGACAGAGAGTGGCGTGAGTGACAGAGAGTGGCGTGAGTGACAGAGTGTGGCGTGAGTGACAGAGAGTGGCGTGAGTGACAGAGTGTGGCGTGAGTGACAGAGAGTGGCGTGAGTGACAGAGAGTGGCGTGAGTGACAGAGAGTGGTGTGAGAGACAGAGAGTGGCGTGAGTGACAGAGAGTGGCGTGAGTGACAGAGAGTGGCGTAAGTGACAGAGAGTGGCGTGAGAGACAGAGAGTGGCGTGAGTGACAGAGTGTGGCGTGAGGGACAGAGAGTGGCGTGAGTGACAGAGAGTGGCGTGAGTGACAGAGAGTGGCGTGAGTGACAGAGAGTGGCGTGAGTGACAGAGAGTGGCGTGAGAGACAGAGAGTGGCGTGAGTGACAGAGAGTGGCGTGAGTGACAGAGAGTGGTGTGAGAGACAGAGAGTGGCGTGAGTGACAGAGAGTGGCGTGAGTGACAGAGAGTGGCGTGAGTGACAGAGAGTGGCGTGAGTGACAGAGTGTGGCGTGAGTGACAGAGAGTGGCGTGAGTGACAGAGAGTGGCGTGAGTGACAGAGAGTGGTGTGAGAGACAGAGAGTGGCGTGAGTGACAGAGAGTGGCATGAGTGACAGAGAGTGGCGTAAGTGACAGAGAGTGGCGTGAGAGACAGAGAGTGGCGTGAGTGACAGAGAGTGGCGTGAGGGACAGAGATTGGCGTGAGTGACAGAGAGTGGCGTGAGTGACAGAGAGTGGCGTGAGTGACAGAGTGTGGCGTGAGTGACAGAGAGTGGCGTGAGTGACAGAGAGTGGCGTGAGTGACAGAGAGTGGTGTGAGAGACAGAGAGTGGCGTGAGTGACAGAGAGTGGCATGAGTGACAGAGAGTGGCGTAAGTGACAGAGAGTGGCGTGAGAGACAGAGAGTGGCGTGAGTGACAGAGAGTGGCGTGAGGGACAGAGAGTGGCGTGAGTGACAGAGAGTGGCGTGAGTGACAGAGAGTGGCGTGAGTGACAGAGAGTGGCGTGAGTGACAGAGAGTGGCTTGAGTGACAGAGAGTGGCGTGAGTGACAGAGAGTGGCGTGAGTGACAGAGAGTGGCATGAGTGACAGAGAGTGGCGTGAGTGACAGAGAGTGGCGTGAGTGACAGAGAGTGGCGTGAGTGACAGAGAGTGGCGTGAGAGACAGAGAGTGGCGTGAGTGGCAGAGAGTGGCGCGGTTGCAGTGATGGCTCTCACCCACAGTGCAGGTGTGAGTGAGTGGGAGCACCATGGGAGTGGGAGCTCCATGGGAGTGGGAGCACCATGGGAGTGGGAGCTCCATGGGAGTGGGAGCTCCATGGGAGTGGGAGCTCCATGGGAGTGGGAGCTCCATGGGAGTGGGAGCTCCATGGGAGTGGGAGCTCCATGGGAATGGGAGCTCCATGGGAGTGGGAGCTCCATGTGGCGCTACCATGCCATGCAGACAGACTTCTTCATCTGTGTTGCTGGTTTGGTTTGTGAGCGGCGTGAGTGAGAGGGACTTGAGTGAGTTCAAAAGGTGTGTTATGAGTGGGAAGAAGGGGCATGATTGTTGGAAATAGGCTGCACTTTGTGTGTTAGTTTTACATTTTTAGGATTTCCAACTTTTAGTAAGTTTGTTTCTGGTTGGGTTGGGTGTAGACTTTTTATCCCCAACCTATCCAAACCTATCCACACCCATCCATCCAATTTTTCCTTGATTTGGATGGATCCTTCTAGGATACTCTTCCAATTGCAACTTATCCACCCAACCCCTCCTAGTTTGTGGTACTTAAGGCCATGTATGTTTTTCTTTAACCTATCGATTCAACTCTCATTTCTGACAACAAGTGCAGTGCGTTGCGTGTTTCCACCCACGTTGCAGGTGTGCGTGAGTAGGTGGGGCGTGAGTGGGATTGAGGGGCGTGAGTGGGAGGGGCGTGAGCCTTGTGCCTGTTGCATCGTCCTTCTTCCAGTCCCCCCCATTTCTTCCACACAACCCCTCCCCACCCCCTCCCACCGTCTTGCCTCACATTCAGGCTGGTGGTGGATCTGGGCGTCACCAACCTCCTCCTCTCTCCCCTCCACTCTGCTATGACACCCACTCTGCTGTACCCGCGTGCAGGCTGGTGGTGGATCTGGGCATGCTGGGCGTCATGCTGCACCAGCAGCCCATGATGCCCATCACCTTCTACTCCTCACCGCCTGGCGTCAGCAAGAGCATGAGCCAAGAGCTCATGGAGGAGGAGATCACAGCCTGTAAGCGAGTCAGCTTATACCAGGTCCGCATCGCCCCTGATGTCAGCCGCAGCAGAAGATACCAAGATTTGCACGCATAGGAGATCGCAGTCTGTAAACGAGGCAGGTTATAGCGTGTCCGCTACAGCAGCAGCGTAAGCCAAGATGTGCTAGAGGACGATGCAGTAAGCCTTTAGTGTGCTTTTTCCTGCTGATGTCTGCAGCAGTAGCAATACCCCACCTAATAGCTGGTAGTGCGGGAAATGAGTGCATGTGAGGAAATGAGTGCATGTGAGGATATGAGTGCATGTGAGGATATGAGTGCATGTGAGGATATGAGTGCATGTGAGGATATGAGTGCATGTGAGGATATGAGTGCATGTGAGGATATGAGTGCAGAACTTAACTTTCCTTCCCTCGCCCATACCTCCTCCTCTCCCCTCCCCTCACCTGCCTCACCCGCCTCGTCCGCCTCACCTGCCCCCTTTACGCACCTCGTCCGCCTCACCTGCCCCCTTTACGCACCTCGTCCGCCAGTCACACTGGGCATGGCACTGCACGACCCCAGCACCCCCGAGTGGTCCATCTACATGCCCATGGCCAAGTCCCTCGTCCGCGCCCTCGATGCCACCCAGCTCGCTGCCAGGGAGCTGCTGCCGCACGTGCCAGTGAGTGCTGTGCTGCTGCTGCTGCCTCCGTGTTGTTGCTTGCTTGCTTGCTTCCAAGGACCGGTTCTTCCTTGCACCAGTTGAAGGGATGCATGCACGCATGGGGGTAGGGATGCACAGGGGTACAGATGAGTGGGGGTAAGGAAGGACTGCACTTGTTATGAGCTATTACCTGAAATTGCCAAGTCCGGGCCGACCCATGCCCCCCCCACCCCATCCCAGTCATAACGGGCCCGCCCGGGGCTGGCCAGTTAGCAATGATGCCTGGTCCACGGCCCGCCTGCCCGCCATAGTCGCTCCAAGGCGATGGATGATGGGTGGTGAAATATGGGTGATGGATGCATGCATGTATGAATGTATGAGAGTGATGAATGGTTGATGGATGCATGCATAAATTTATGAGAGTGATAAATGGGTGATGGATGGGATGGGAGATGGATGGGATGGGAGATGGATGGGATGTGTGATGGATGGATGACACATCGCGCATTTCAGCCTCACTACCGCCATTTCTCTCCTCCAGCCCATCCCATGCCACTCTCTCTCCTCCAGCCCATCCCATGCCATTCTCGCTCCTCCCTGATCGCGTGTGTCGTGTGTGCCCCATTCCTCATTCTCCCTTCCCCCGCCAGGTGGAGGGCTTTGTGAGTGTCGGAGTGAGCAAGCGAGCATGCATGGCTTGGCTCTCTGCCGCGCTCGATAAGGCACGTGCCCCTTCTTTCTTTTATGAAGCAGCTTGTTATCTGTTTGTGCATTTGCTCGTTTTTTTTTTTTTTTTTTTTTTTTTTTTTTTTTCTAATATATATGTAAAAAATATTTGGGTTGTAATTCATCTGAAACTGAACGTGCCTTTACATAATCGCTTGCACATTGCATCTCCTCCTTTCTTTCCACATCGTCATTTCATCTGCAATCAGCACGCCCCCACTCTGTCCCTCTCTCCCTCTTCAATTCAAACCCAGCTGGCCTCAACCACCCAGTCCGTGATCCTTACCTCCCGCCACCCACTCTGCCCCTCTCTCTCTTCTCTCCCCACAGCGAGTGGTGGCGTTCATATCGTACGGCTATGATCTCATCAACTTTCAGCCCAACATGCAGCACCTGCTCGACTCCCTGGGTGCTGTTCCCATTCTGGGAAGGTTCTACGTGGATTACAACCTCACTCGCTTTCTGCACACCCCACAGCTGCGTCACATCCTGGTGAGAAGGAAGGAATTGAGAGACAGAGAGGGTTAGAGAGGGTTAGAGAGGGATGGAGAGGGATAGAGAGGGAGAGAGGCAGGTGGTTTGGAAATTTGGAACCCACACGAAATAATGAGGAACAAGGAGCCAACAGCAGCCATTAAGTAGGCCCGAGGGCAGAGGGCAGAGGGAAGGAACGAGGTCGAGGGTTGGGGTTCAGGTTAATGGAAAAACGTGTAGGGCTTAGGGAGGGAGGTAGGCAGGGGCGGAGTGGGAGGGGGGGGTGGTCTCGCAGAGTTCTAGTCAACAGCCCAGCCCGAAAGCTCTCCAACCATGCATTTGGGAATGCTTAAAAACTCAAAACCCTTTTCTTTCACTCCACGCTTGACAGACAACAAATGCCACTGACCCACAAGCCCCCCTCCTTCCCCCCCTCCCTTCCCTGTTTCCCTCCCACTCCCGCCCCAAACCCTCCTACCACCACCCCCCCTTCTCCCTTCCCCCACCCCTTTCCCCCCACCCCCATAGAGCTACACGGACCCCTACTTCTTTCGGGAGCGCCTCACCATGCCCAAGCTGCTCATCGCCGCCTCCAACGACGAGTTCTTCTTGATGGACGACTCGTGAGTGCACGCCACCTTTTGAAGGAAGACTCGTGAGTGCCCCAGCCCCCTTCATTGCTGCTGAATAGATGAGCCGTGACTGTCGCATGGATGACTCGGGAGTGTCGCATGGATGACTCATTGATGGACGACTCGTGAGTGCACGTCTCCTGATGCCTGTCTGCATAGCCTTGAAGGATGACTTGTGAGTGCCCCATGCCCCGCTAAGCCCCCTTAATGGCTGCTTGTAGAAAATGGATCGGTGAACTTGAGGGCACAATGTGAAAAGAAAATATATCCTTAGTAGGAAGATGGTACAAGCCTGAGAGGCTAGAGCAATGTCCTAGTCAAAGGATGAGATTTAGTGAAGTAAAAAACCACATATACATGGCTGAACTCTTGAGGCTAGCTGCAGCTCCTCCAAGCTGAGTGCAAGGCTAGCCAACCTTGTCAAGCTAGCAAGTGAGGCCTCATGTTGCACATGTGGGCTAGGCTGGAACAACAGCCGACAAGGCAGCATATGGCACACCATAGGGGCCAGCAAGGTGAGCATGGGATGAGTGGACATGTGGCAATGCCAACAGCGACCGCACTTCAATGTGGGTGAGTGTGGTGGAGTGGACTTGTGATGGTGAGCATAACGAGAAGGGAAAGTGCAGCTGCTAAGAGTTTAACTTGTGATCTCTAAGACTAAAGGTGAGAAACCGTCCACTGGGACATGCTGCACAACAGTGCTGAATAGACGACTCGTTAGTGTCGCATGGATGACTCATACGCACGTCCTTTTTGCTGGCTGTCCGTGTAGTGCACGTCCTCTTAAGTGCCTTTTTGTTCTGTTTTTGCGAACGTCCTCATTCATTTGCAGGGAAAATTGCGTATACGTGGAAAAAATGCATGTTGTTTTGTTTTCCCTTGAGTGCGGATCCCATGTCACAGCACTTGCGCACGTGCCAAGACATGTGTGTTTCTGCCTTCTCAACTTCCTCTCGCCAATACGAGTACTGTCAGATAATGGTTTGGGGCACCTCAGAATGCCACACACCCTTTATTTCTCTTCGCACACAACCCCTTTTGTCACCCTTGTTGGCTCCATGTGCACGCGTCCATTCCTCACACTCACTCTCCCCCTGTGGATGCGCCTGGCAGGTACTTCTATTACAATGGCCTGCCACCCCCCACGCTACTTAAGTTCGTGGCCAACGTGGACCACATGGTCATTCAGAAGTCCTATTGGGTACGCCCTTACCCTCCAACCCTCATCTGTCTCAGTGGGTACGCACGCCCTTAACCTCCAACCCTCTTTTGTCTCAAGGTACGCTGTTACCCTCCAACCCTCTTCTGTCTCAGTGGGTATGCCCTTACCCTCCAACCCTCTTTTGTCTCAGTGGGTACGCTCTTACGCTCCAACCCCCCTTTTGTCTCAGTGGGTACGCCCTTACTCTCCAACCCTCTTCTTGTGAGATTGTGAGCTTGAAGTGATTGACTAGTAATGAGCTCAAGGCTCTCTAAGTACATCAGAAATAGGCAAGGTATGGATGGGGAGGAATCAGGGACAATCTCCAAGGGATTGGGGGCAATCCCAAGGCAATCTCCAATTGGTGGGTTGGAGATTGCTTGGTGATCACATTTGGGTTTGGTTGAGATATGGGTATACACTCAACAAAACTCGAAGTGCAAACTACACTATGCTAGAATATAAAAGTGCAAATACAAAAGTTGAGATTGAGGCTAACACTAACACCCCCCCATATACGTCAATCGAACTCATGACAGAGGAGGGGCACACAGCCTTATGGCGCCAAGAAGATGATAGTGTGGGACCTTCCCAAGGGGCTTGGAGCGAGTGTAAAACACTGGATCCTGGGAGAGGTGGATGGCACCTTTGTAATCACACTAGAGGGTGGGAGCAGGCTGAGGGTAGCCAAGCTCCTGGAGGAGGAAGGTGAGCCAATGGGCATCTTGAGCTGCCATGGTCTCAGCGTATATTTCTGCCTCACAGGAGGAGAGGGAGACCACAGACGACCTGGTAGAGTGTCAGCTAACAACTCCACTTCCAAGGGTGAAGAAGTAGCCCTAAGAGGAGTGTCGGTCGGTCTGGTCATCAGCCCAAGAGAAGTCACTGTAGCCCTCCAGAGTAGGAGAAAGACCACCAAATGTGAAGACATGAGACTTGGTGCCTTGCAGATGGCGCAGCACCCACTTCGCCGCCTTCCAGTGGAGATCGATGAAACATCCAGGAGCCACATAGCGAGAGAGGACACTGACAGGATATGCCACATCAGGCCGGGTGCACATCATGGCGTACCTGAGGGACCTAACAAGGTCAGGGTATGGCTCGTAGCAGGCCTCTGGTGTGGGTATAGCTGGAGCTGTGAGGAGGTGTTGTAGCGGCAGCGGGGTGGCCATGGGTGTGCAGGATTCCATCTCAAGGTGCTTGAGAACATTGTCAATGTAGAACTCTTGGGAGAACGAGACGGTGCGAGCCTGACGATCACGAATGATCCCCGTCCCCAAGTAGTGCTTGAGGTCACCAATGTCCTTCATCAAGAGGGCCTTGCTCAGGGTAGTCTGGATAGAGGTCATCTGGGCCGAGTCTTTGGAGACGAGGATGAAGTCATCGACGTAGACAAGGATGTAGAATGGCTCATAGTGATTGCAAATGAAAAATTTCGGGTCAGGAGATGATGGGTGAAAGTCCGATGAGAGGAGGACCTTCTTCACCTTGTTGCGCCACTCATGAGGAGCTTCCAGACAGTGTTGGGAGGAAATTCTCCCGGAAAGCCTTCGGGTCGATCCACGAGCACAGTCTCTTTAAGGTGTTCTTGCAGAATTGCCGAAGAGGCGCCCATGGATTTGATTTCCATGTTTTCTCGTGTGGCCGTATCCAAGAGCGTGCGAACGGTGGGTGATTAGGCCATGGGAGAGAAGGTCCTGAAAAAATTCAGAAGTGCTGCTGCTGAGTGAATTCTTGGCCACACAGCACGCTTTGAACATTGAGCCTCATCCAAAAGCCTTTTCACTTGAAACAGCCACGTGCCTTCAAAGATGTTGACTCCTAGAGGTGAAGTTTCGTCATCGAAGAAGTGGTTGCGAGTGAAGGCTTCGCATTCATCTCTCATGTCATTGCGCCACTCAGCAGCATAGGGACCCGAAAGAGCCTCTTGGATAGTGAGAGGGATGAGGATGGTCGGGTTCTCTGAGAAGTTGAGTGAGGGTGAGTCAGTGATATCAGGAAAGATGTGCTAGAGCACCGAATGGCGAGTGCGAGTGGAAGTGCAGGCTTGCGAGACTGCGGAGATGAGGGTGTAGCGGGCGGGGCCGGAGGGGTCGGTAAAGGAGGCGGGGCCGGAGGAATCGGCCGCCGCTGGTACGTGATCGGTGCACTCGATGGTGGGAGAGCGGGTGGCAGAGTGGAAGAGGGAATGGAGGGAGGACGCGGGGTCGGATGGGTCGACCGCCGCTGGTATGTGATAGGTTCGCTCGGTGGTGGAAGTGCGGGTGGCAGAGTGGGAGAGGGGAGGGATGGAGGAGCAACTACCGAGGACACTGGTGAGGGCGAGGTAGAGACCTCGGAGAGGGTTGGTGCCATGGCAGGAGTAGTAGGAGGTGAGGGAGCCGGTGCAGGCGGAAGTCCAGGAGGCACATCAAAGTCAGCCCACACAAGGGAGGTGGTCCGGTGGGAGAATCCCCCCTAACGTAGAGTAGAAAGGGCGAGTCTCTTCAAAGACAACGTCTCGGTTGCGGACCAGTTGGTGAGTAGTGGGGTTGAGGAAGAGGTAGTCAGGGGAGTCGGCATTATGCCCAAGATATATGCACGTTCGAGTCTTGGGGCCGAGCTTGCCGTCTTGCTGCCGCCGAGCCTAAGGGTTGAGGAGGACATAGGCGGCGCACCCCCAGACACGAAGAGGGCGAGCTGTGGGTGCTTTCCCGAGCGAGAGGGTGGTGGGAGTGGTGTCGGGAAGATGCGGATGGGGTGGGGGTAAAGATTGTAGAGGAGGGCAGCATGGTAAAGGGCATACCCCTAGAATGAGAGTGGTGCGTGGGGGCTAGACATGAGCAAAGAACCGAACCTAGGTTCGGTTCGCTCGAACCGGTTCAAATTAAAACGAACCGAACTTTTCTCTTGGAAAACGTTTGCGCAAACCTTGAAAAAGTTTGCGCGAACCGTTTGAGCAAACTTTTATGGTTCAAGTTTCGAACTTCGAACCGGTCCGGTTCGAAGTTCGAAACAACAATTTTCAAAATTCGCGGGGTTCAAATTAGACCCCGCCAGAACCCACTCGACTTTCCCGTCAAAATCGTGAAAGTCGTCGAGGTGGCTGCCATTTCACGGCAGCCAACCCTAAGGTCGTAAGTTAGGTAGAGCAGATCTAGATCTGCTCCTAAGTACCACACCCAAGCTCCCACACTACTATTCATTCACTACAACTCCCTCTTAAGATGCGTCATACGTTTAGGTGTTAGGTTAGATAGTACACTGCGCATAACTATATTTTTTAGCTGGAGGGGAGCATTCCGATTTTTAGCTAAACCCTGGATTTCTTTTTACCCTCTCATTTGCTGTTCTGTTTTGTACTTGATACTCTCGCTGAACCGTCTGACACGCATGCCTTTTACATTTCCTTGTGCATCATCTTTACCCCCAAACCTAACTAGGTTCGAGTTCGCACAAACCTTTAAGGTTCGTTGTTACATATACAAACCTCAAATCTCAACATAAGTTCGAACAAACAAGTTCGGTTTGGTTCGACCCCCATGCAAGGTTCGAAAAAGTTTGAGCAAACATGTTTGAGTTCGGTTCGTGCTCATATCTAGTGGGAGCGATCAACACCAAAGTGCGATTACGGCTCTTTGCTATGCCGTTCTGCTGCAGGCTGTCGGGAAGGGTGAAGTTTTGCTGAATGCTAAGAAAGGAGTTGAAGGCTTCAAGCTTGGCGTTTGCAGAATTCACCACTACCATCCGAATGGAGGCGCTTGACCTTGGTGCCAAAGGTGACCTGCGCCTGTTTGACCCACACCATGATGGCCTTTGGAGCCTCAGCCTTAGTGTGAAATAGGTGCACAGAGTCGTAACGAGAGTGGTCATCAACTATTGCAAGGAAATAGCGATGACCACCCCATGTGGTAACCGGCGCACGGCCTCAGGCGTCCATGTGCATTAGGTCCAATGGGGCTGCTGCGATCGAGGGTGAGGCGGGGTGAAGTTGTTGGCACAGCTTACTCTTGGTGTAGTCAGGCACGTGGGAGCGGGAAAGTCAGGTGGTGGAGGAAGCGAGGATGGTAGGCCGAGAAGAAGCTTCTTTGAGGCTATGTCTGCAAGCGTGCGCATATTTGGGTGCCTGAGCCGATGGCGGTAGAGGATGGCCGGGTTGGCGAGACTACGTCATGAGCATGGTGTGATAGCAGCCTGTGCTTGGGTGGTTGACACCTGTGGGGCCGGTAAACACATCGTGTAGAGGCCGCTGCTGTTGAGGGTGAAGCGAGCTAAGATCTTGTTTGTGAGTGGGTCGATGATGTCACAATAGTCAGCGTCAGCCTTCTGAATTTCAATTTGGGCCACTAGATTGCGGCGTAGTGAAAGCACGTACATGCCAGTGACAGTGTCGGATGGGAAGGCGGGGCAAATGACTATGGACGACCCCTTAGCATGAGTGGTGAAGCTCGAGTCCTCTCCCAAGAGAGGAATGGGTACTGAGTAGGGTTGGAAGGAGTGTTTCTCTTTGGGTGCTGTGTGCATGGCCCCACTGTCGAGTGTGAATTCTATGTAGTGTGGTGTCTGTGGTGAGCTGATGTACTGCGAGGTCGCTTCATTAATCATGGCAGTGCCATGGAACAACATGTTGATACGCACATCAGCACGAGCACTATAACTAGCACTAGCCTGAGCGGGTTCCTGTGTCTCGACTAGGTTGACCTTACGAGTGCGCATTCAGTTCGGCAGCTTCTTGTCGACTCCATGGATGGCATACCATTCGTCGTCCTTCTTCTTGAAGCACGTAGCAATGGGGCAGTTAGTGCCACCACACACTCGTCCCTTGCGGTTGCCATACATGGAGGGAAGCGATTGCGCTGGAAAGGTGCCAAGGTAACACTTGCTTGAGGCACGGGAGCACGGAGGGCATAGACTTTGACTTGAGTCGTGGTGTCTTTCTCGGCGGAGAGACCTTATGAAGGTGAGGTCTTTCGTCGAGAGTGTGAGGAGCATCTTCCTCGAGACTTCGTATGCCAAAGTGAGGCCGACAAGAGAAGCGGATGCTGGAGCTTGCGCAGAGAAGACTATACCGAGTTCCTTGAGCTCGCCATGAATAGTATGAACCTTGACGATGAGGTTGGCAATAGTGAAGGAAGCGAATGCCATGTTGACAATATTTTTCCTTTCCGCACGAAGCGCAGCTCTTAAGTCGTCGTAGGTAGAATTGTAAGGTGGGGTTTCCGAAGGAGAATTGTAAGGTTTACGAAGGAGAATTCTAAGGTAGGGTTTACGAAGGAGAATTGTAAGGTGGGGTTTACGAAGAAGAATTTTAAGGTAGGGTTTAGATAAAGCCGCTCCAGGGCGACAGGCGGCAACCCGAAGGTGACGATGCCGGGCGACAGGCGGCAGCCCGACGAGAAGTTGCAGGGCGATAAGCGGCAGCCCGAAGATGACGCTGCAGGGCGATGGGCGTCAGCCCGACGAGAAGCTGCAGGGCGACAGGCGTCAGCTCGACGAGTAGGAGAAGTGCCGCATACTCGTTCAACAGAAAAAACGCTATTAGCGATACGCAGACGATTCGCTTTGCAAAAAACGCGGAATTCGTGGTGACAGTAGGGAGATTGGCGCGGGAAAATTTCCAGTTAGAGATGTCGCAAATCAACGGCAACGAGATTGAAGGCGGCTTCGCCGAAGAATGCGGGATGAGAATCCGCAAAGGTAAGAGGATCACGATCCGCGTGTGCGATTACGCAGCTCTGATACCATGTGAGAACTTCAGCTTAAAATGATTGACAAATAATGAGCTCAAGGCTTTTTAAGTACATCAGAAATGGGCAAGGTATGGATGGGAAGGGAATCAGGGACAGTCTCTAGAGGATTGGGTGCCTTAGTTGCGAAAGACGCAGGGCACGTCATGCGTCCTGCGTCTGGACGCAGCGTCCGGACGCAGGGACGCAGGACGCACGGCGGTTTTTTTTCGGGCTGACCGGAATTTTTTTTTTGCCAGCGCGAAGTTGACATTCGCGATTTCGACGCGACTGTCAAATTCGCGACATTTCGACCCCCCCAACCCATTTCGACCATCAAAAACAGCCCATCACCAAAATTGTAAACCCAACCCCTCACAACCCAACTACGTCTAGAAAACCAAACCATGGTGGACCACCACCAAGCCCATTTAGGAGCTCAAACTCTTCATCTGTGCTCCATCTCTTTATATGAACATTATTCTCCTTCGTGAACCCTAGAGGGTTTAGCTACCTTTTGCTCCTCAGTGCTACCTTTCGCTCCATAGCTACCTTTTTGCCTCACATGTGTGATACGTCGTCTCCCCCCCCCCTTCCCATGCCCTACAACGTGTTTTTTTGGCTGCCCGGGTGATTTTTTTGCCCTGCCCAGGCATGCGTCTTTGGTAGCGTCTCCCAGGCCCACATGAAGCGTCCTGCGTCCAAGACGCTGCGTTTGGACGCACCCGTCTAAGACGCAGGACGCGTCTTTCGCAACTAAGTTGGGTGCCATCCCATAGCAATCTCCAATTGGTAGGTTGGAGATTGCTTGGTGATCAAATTTGGGTCTGGTTGGGATGTGGGTGTACATGCAACCAAGCACCAAGTGCAAACTACATTATGCTAGGATGTAAAAGTGGAAATACATGATGTTGCGATTGAGGGCTAACACTAACACTTCTGCCTCAGTGGGTACGCCCTTACCCTCCAATCCTCTTCTCTCCTGCAACTCTAGTTTTGAGGCTTCTAGGAGCACTCATTCAGATGTCACAGTGGGTAAGGTCCTCCGCTCTTCTCTCCCCTCCCATGCACTCCCATGCCCCTTCTCGCCTTCACTCTTCTCGCCTTCACTCTTCTCGCCTTCACGCTTCTCTCCACCTTCCCATCAACAACGCAAACTCCTTCTCACCCTCACCGCCCTTCCTTCGCAACCTGGCTCGCCAACCCTTTTCCCTTATGTCAACCTCTTCCACCTCACCCTCGTGCCATCTTGACTCTCGCTTCTTCCTCTCACCTTCACCCGTCTCTGTTTCTGCTTCCTCTGTGGCCACCCCCCTTCTTTTATCCCCTCCCTCTCCCCCACCCCCCCCCAACCCCTCTTCCCCCCTCTCCCTCCCCCCCCACACTGCCGACATCTCCTTCCGCTTCTCACCCCTATTTCCTCTCGCCTTTATTTCGTTGTCACCCCTCCCCCTCCCTGGTTCTCTTGTTGTCTCCCACCGAATCTTTCAGGCTTATGATGCTGCCATCTCCTTCCTCTCCTCTCTCCTGCACGTCAACTCCTCCTGCGCCTCTCTCCCCGCCTCCTCCCGTCCCTCCCTCACCTGGACTCGCCCCACCACCCCCACCCCCGCCGCCCTCATCCCCCACACCACCTCCTCCTCTCCAGACCCAACTCCCTCTCAGACCCCTCACAGCTCTCAGCCTTCCAGTCTCACAGACGCAGAGGCAGCAGCAGTGGGGGCGGCAGTGGGGGCAGCAGTGGCAGAGGCACAAAATCCCCCCTGGAAGTGCGTTCCTGACCTGCCAGCTGTTGATTGGCCGCGGTTGAGGTGGCAGTTTGATTGGCCCACGTTCACGATCCATGCCACGTCAGACAGGAAACCATTGGCAGTTAGGGCATGGTGAGAAGGAAGCGGGGGGAGGGGGGAGGGGGGCGGAAGTGGAAGACGGAGAAGGGGGAGGGGAAGGCATTGGCAGATAGAGCGTTGTGAGAGATGGGGAGGGTAATGGGTAGGGTGATGGCGGATGGGGTTGGAGAGGGTGATAAGGGAGGAGTGGATACGTGGAGGGGAGTGCTAGTAGGAAGGAATGGAGGTATTGACGCTCGTAGAGCTTATTACCTTAAAAATTACATATATTTAAAGAGGTTGTTATGGAATTTACTATCTTTTCGACTAAAGAGTTAATTGTTATATATAGGACCCCAAATATTACTAAAATTTGAGCCGCATTGCTGTAAGTCACATCAGTTCCATGCCCCCCTCTCCCCGGATGCAGGACTGGGCGCACGAGGCCGGGCAGCAAGCGGCGGGACTTCCGGTTCATTGTCAAGCAAGGGCTCACTGGGTGGTGAGTGCGGCGCAGTGCAGGGGAGGTGGTGGGGTGGTGAGTGCGGTGCAGGGGAGGTGGTGGGGTGGTTGAGTGCGGTGCAGGGGAGGTGGTAGGGTGGTGCCTGTTCTGCTCTCACCTCGTCCCTTGGAACATCCTCTTCAGGTTCATTGTCAAGCAGGGGCTTACAGGGTTGTGAGTCCAGGGAAGGGGAAGGTGGGATTGATGAGTGCAGGGGAGGGGAAGGTGGTAGGGTGGTGAGTGCAGGGGAGGGAAAGGTGGTAGGGTGGTGAGTGCAGGGGAGGGAAAGGTGGTAGGGTGGTGAGTGCAGGGGAGGGAAAGGTGGAAGGGTGGTGACTGCGATGCAGGGGAAGAAATGGGTTCCGAGGCTCAGATGAACGGTGGATGGATGTGTGAGAATGTTGGATGAGGTTCATTAGGCCTTCAAATCTTCTGTTTCGTATTCATGGTCAAGCAGGGGCTCACCAGGTGGTGAGTGCAAGGAAGGTGGTGAGTGCAAGGAAGATGACTCGCGTTTGTTATTCATGCCTTTTCGAGACTCCTGTGGCGTTATTCCGGCAGGTGGGTCCATGCGCATGGGGTGTTGCACCTGGTAACAAATCTGCTCGTGTGTGTTCATTGCCACGTGAGTGAGCAAATTGTTCTCTCCTCTCCTCTACCCTTACCTCTCCATTCATCTCCACCCCTCCTGCCCTGCTCCTCGCCAGCACGGTGCCATTCAAGAGTGCGCCGGGCAGCTACACTGCCAAGTTCGGCACGCTCTGTGTGCAGCCCATCCCGTTCCTCCTGCACACTGTCTCGCCGCCCGCGCTGCAACCCGATAAGCTCTGGTACTTCAATTCCTCCATCAGAGACATTCCCAAGGTGAGTGTGATGAAGTGTGATTGCGTGTGGTGAAAGGAATAAGTGTTATGAAGTGTATTTTCTTTTTACGGAGTGCTAAAAGTTCAATGAAGTGTGGAGATGTGGTAGTTGTCTCAGGGCATGTTACATTTTTCATTTTCCATGGTCCGTACTGTCCGCCATCCGGACGAACGGCTGGTTAATCTTGTCGCTCAAACTCGTAAAGATGTTCCGTACACCATATAGGTATGGCAAGCTGTTCGTCAGTGAGCATGCAATGTCGCACACGTCCGTACCGTTGATGAATCATTTTCATTTTTTTTTTGCGCTCAATAACGCACGGACAGTGTCCGTTCGTTTGCTGGACTGTCCATTTTTTTTGCGCTCAATAACGAGCAGTGATATAATTGACGGGCGAAAAACAGGTACTAAATCGATTTACCCAGTTACAATAACAGCGGCTCGGAAATCCATTGAGCATAGCCAATTGCACAAGTTGATAACATTGGGCAGAGTTGCGCGACTCGAATACATCGAACGAACGACGAAAGAGCACTAGAAATGCTCAAACGAAACGAATGGAAAATTGTACTAGCACAGGGTGGACTCTACTTCTCGTTTTGAACTAGGAACCCATCGAAGCCCCTGACAACCCCCCACCACCGAACCTCGCTGTACCTGCAATTTCATTTTCGAGATGCGTTGTGGGCCTCGCGAAAGTTGCGAAGTCATGTTGATCATGTTACAAGTGTACATCATTTAGATACAGAACGTTCCACAATCACCGTCTGGACAAGGCACGGTCCGGACATATGCCCCGCTCCGTCCGTATGCGCTATTAGTACCGTACAGGGACCATCGTCTGGACAATTGCCTAACAAAGAAAATGTAAGACGCCCTTATGGGGAATCGCTTCCAAGTAAGGTGTGACATGGCAAGGAAGCAAGTGATGCTCTGCTTCAGCTACATGATCATACTTTCGGTGGCTTTTATAGCTGTGATGTAATTTCAAACAACCTGGTTCTTCTAAATTCCCACCAGATGATGCTATATCCTGCCCTTTAGCATCATATATGCCTTCACAGTCCAGCGCCCACTTCCTCTGCTTGTTTTATCGAATGTCCCTTATATGCCTTGACCAAACTTTTACCATAGTCATAGCCTTGTTTCACCTAAATGCAAGTTTCCCACATTTACTCTGTTCTCTCCATTGTACTCTTGTGCTCAGGTGGGGTATCGAGCACTGTTTATTGAAGTTGATTTCGAGCACGGACCCTACCATAAGCCCTTTGTTCTCACCACTGAATCCATGATAGCACCAAACACATTTCCATTTGCCCCATGCAATAGCACTGCTTGCTTGACTGAATTTGCATGACTTTGCTATCAGGTTTTTTGTCAAACTATGTTTGTAGATTTAGATATGCTATAGTGAGTTGGATGTTAGGGGGTACAAAACTTTCTCGACACTTTGTATCCCTCCCTTTGACCTAGTATCACCATTCTCTCGTTGCTCAAGCAAGTAGGTTCTTAAGATGGTATCACTAGTACGTAGGTCAGTTCCTAGCCTAGCCCCGAATCGCCCCGCCCCTTAGCACGTCGTGCCGCGTCCCCTTAGCAGGCCGCGCCCTGTCCGTTCGCAGGCCCCGCCCCTAGCCTGCCCCGTCGTCACGCTCCTTACCCGTCCGCGCCCCACCCTGCCCCTTACCCTCGCGCGCAACCCGCGCGCCCCCACTAGCTCGCACAGTCGCACGCGCGCGCAGCCACCCATACGCAGCAGCGCACGCGCACGCGGGTGCACGTGCGCCAGCAGTACGAATAGCAGCCACGCACTGCAGCTGCCGTCCGCACGCACGCTCGCCACCCGCGCACAGCAGCGTCAACACGCGCACAGCAGCGTCAACATGCGCAGCAGCAGCCGCACGCGTTGCAGCAGCCGCACGCGCTGCAGTAGCCGCGAGCACGCACGTCACTGCACGCGTGCGAGCAGCAGCCTCCCGCGCACGGAACAGCCATTGCACGCACGGCTTCAGCAGCAGCTGCACACTCCTCTGTAGCCACTCGCACGCACGCCCTGCAGCAGCCGCAACCACGCGCGTGCAGCGGCAGCAAGCGCAGCACCTGCCTCCGCATCTGCAGCGAGCGCAGCAGCTGCAGCCCGTGCTCCAGAATCCGTTTCTAACCACTACTATCCGCCCCTACCAGCTCCTCACCACTCCTATCCGCCTCTACCCGCTCCTCACCGCTCCTCACCGCTCCTAACCGCTCATACCCGCCTCTAACCGCTCCTCACCGCTCCTAACGGCTCTCGACCGCACTCCACCGCTTTGAAGCGTACCTGACCGCTCCCCACCGCACTCAAACGCACCCACCCACACCTTTCTGCACGTGCAGCACCTTCCTACCGCCTACTGCCACTGGCTTTCCACTCACAGCGGCTGGCGGCCGCAGTACCCTCTACTAGCGTGACCTAGGCTCGACCCTCTGACTTCATTTGTCCCTCGCCTCGCTCGAATCTCAATTAGCACTTAGGCCTCGCTCGTTACTCGTTTCGGCTCGTCCTAGCCTCGCCACTCTGGCTTAGGTCGCTCCTAGCTCAGGCTGTTCCTCGCCTTGTCTCTTCGGGCACCGTACGCCTCACTTGTTTCTAGCTCCGGCCCCTTCTAGCTCTGTGCTTCTAGGCCGGTAGTTCCCTCGTTATGGCGGCCCCTCGTGTAATGCGCTTTGATGCTGAGGGTAGAGCCCTAGAGTTCCCCTCCTGGCTCATCCGTGCCGAGCGGTTTCTCAAGAGCCAGCGCCAGGACAATGATACGCTCTGGGCGCACGCTTCCGGTGACCTGCCTGAGCCTCCGTCCCCTCCTGACCTTGGTGCTGAGCCTGACGAGGCGGCCCAGGCGCGCTTCGATAAAGCCCGTACCGCTCGTTCAGTGTGGCAGTCGCGTGACGCTGCGGCATGCATTGCCCTCTCCAGTCTTCTCCCCGAGACTGAGGAGGCTCACTTCTCTCAGGTTCGATTTGCCAAGGACCTGGTCACTGCCATTAAGACACGTTACTCCACTCCCACCTGCGCCTCTCTTGGTCGCCTCTTTCTGCCGTTTCTCTTTCCTGACTTATGCTCGTTTGACTGCGCTGCTGACCTTATCACCCACCTGAGCTAGCTAGACGTCAGCTAGCGTGCTGCTTGTACTGAGGCTCAGCTTGCACTGCTCCCCCCGCCCATGGCGATCACTATTCACTTTATCGCCACTAGCCTCCCTGACCGCCTTGCACCTGTCCGTGACGAGCTTCTTCGGAAGCACTGTAGTGAGCTCACCATCGATGTCCTTGAGACCGCTCTCAAGGACATCGAGAGCAATATCCGCTCCGTTGCCTCCGCATCTGGCGCTGTAGTTCCCCCGCTCTTTCAGGGGTGCACTGTCCCACAGCTTTCCACCTTCACTGCTTCTCTTGCCTCTACTGCGTCTCCTTCTCTTTTGGAGACTGCGGCCGTGTCCACCGCGGGTGGACGGTCCAGGGGTAAGGGAGGTAAGAGAGGGGGGAAGGGTGGTGGTGCTGGTGGTGGTGGCGGAGGTGCCGGAGGCTCTGGTGACACTAGTGCGTCTGGTGGAGGCAACACTGGGAGCGGCCCTGCGCCTGCCGGCCTGACGGGAGGGGGTGCTGGTGCGGTTACGTGGTACACGACACAGCGGCGGCAGCAGTCCCAGCAGCAGCACCCACAGTCAGGACAGCCGTAGCAGCAGGGACAGCCGCAGCAGCAGGTTCAGCGGCAGGTGCAGCAGCAGCCTCAGCAGTGGGGACCCGGTGGACTAGGGAGCGCTGGTCGTGGCGGTGGTCCGCCCAGCTCGGCGTTGCGTGGTGTAACTCCGCCTCCCTGCCCGTACGTGGTTCAGTGAGGCGGTCGTGCGGGTTCTCACTGTGGCCGTTTCCACGCTTCGGGTCAGTGCTTTGCGCAGCTTACTGACCGCGTCCGCGCACAGTTCGGCCTTGGCCGTGCTCCGGACTGGTCCCCGCTTGCTCGCTCTCGTGGACTTGCTTTGTGGGACTTGTCTGCGGCAGAGTTAGTTGATGCTTTAGACTCTGTTTCTGTGATGTATGCTGATGTTGATTATAGTGTTGCTGGATCTATTTGCTCGCGTGTTCGTAGTTTAGGTTCTTTACCTGTTGCTAGTGTAGATCTTTGTCTCTCTAGTCTAGGTGCTTGTGTTTCCGCACTAGGTGCTTGTGTAGCTACCAGCCCAGGTGCACCTACGGCTGAGGCGTCGCTGTCCTTCACGCTGGACTCTGGCGCATCGCAGTGCTTCTTCCGCGGCCACACGACTCTCACACCGCTTCTTGCTCCGGTTCCGGTTGCACTAGCTGATCCTACTTCAGGACCAGCGGTTGCACGCAGCTCTACCACCCTCCCATGCCCGGTTGTCCCCTCTGGTGTCCTTAGAGGTCTCCATATCCCCTCGTTCACTCGGAACTTGGTGGGTGTTGGATACCTCTAGGATAGGGGGATCACAGTTACCTTTCTGGGAGGCGGGAGGTCTGCAGTCTGCACGGACGCTGCCACCGGTGTCGTTCTTGCCACGTTTACCAGAGAGTCTTGCTCCGGTCTCTACATTCTGCACACTGAGCGCTCCCAGGTAGCTGCGTCCCCTCAGGTTGTTGTGTCCCCTCAGGTTGCGGTGTCTGGCCAGGTGGCTGTGTCCGGTCTGGTTGCTGCGTCTTGCTCTTGTCGGTCACTCTCTCACCTGACAGTCTTGTGGCACCACCGTCTTGGTCACCCGTCTCTCCCACGCCTCCGCAGCATGGCTAGCCAGCGTCTTGTCTCAGGTCTCCCGCGCGTCTTTGCGTCGCTCCCTCCTTCGCCTGCGCCGTTGTGCACTCCTTGCGTCGAGGGTCGGCTGCGCGTAACTCCTCACTCCTCCTCCCTTCGTCCGGCCACTGCACCTTTCCAGACTCTCCACTTGGACGTCTGGGGCCCCGCCCCTCGCCCTGGGCCCGAGAGGGAGAGCTTTTTTCTAGTGGTCGTTGACGACTACTCCCACAACACCACCATGTTCCCTCTGGTGAAGAAGTCCGACGTGACTTCTACGCTGATCTGGTGGTTGCTGGCCACTGAGACCACACGTGGCCGTCGTGCTAGTTGTCTTCACTCCGACCGTGGGGGCGAGTTTCGCTCTGGCATTCTTCGCGGATTCTGTAGCGAGCAGGGCATCACCCAGTCCTGGACGCTTCCAGAGTCCCCACAGCAGAATGGGGTTGCTGAGCACCGCATAGGCTTGGTCATGGTGATTGCCCGTACCTCCATGATCCATGCCCGTGCGCCCCATTTTCTTTGGCCCTATGCGGTTCGCTACGCCGCCCACCAGCTGAATCTCTGGCCTCGTGTCTCTCGGCCAGGGGCTTCACCGACCAGTCTTTGGACCGGGTCCCCTGGTGTTGCGTCGGAGTTTCGAGTCTGGGGCTGCCTTGCGCTTGTCCGCGACATCTCTGCGGACAAGCTCTCGGCTCGTGCCATCCCCTGTGTCTTCCTTAGTTTCCCGGTGGACTCCTCTGACTACACCTTTTACCACCCGCCCCTCCACCGGTTCCTTGACTCTCGTGACGTCCGGTTTAACGAGTCCGTGTCCTACTACACCCGGTACCCCTGTCGAGGTCTCCCGGTTCCCCCCCCTCCCCTTTTTCTCGCCCCCTCTCCTCCTCCTGCTCTCGCTCCTCCGGTACCCCCGCCCCCCCCCTGGTCCCGCCCCGTCAGGCGTGTCTCACGCTACCCCTCTACCCTCGGTTGCGCGTCAGGTAGCGTCTCCGCAGTCGTCCTCACAGTCCCCTCAGCAGCCTTCGGCACTTCCGCGACAGGTTACTGTGGACTCCGGGGGTGCTGGAGCTGGAGGTGCTGGCGCTGGAGGTGCTGGTTCCGGGGGTGCTGGTGTTGGGGGCACGAACGCTGGGGGTGCTAGTTCTGAGGGTGGTGGAGCTGAAGGTGTTGGCGGTGGAGGTACTAGTTCTGAGGGTGCTGGAGCTGAGGCTACTGGCGCTGGAGGTGCTCGTTCTTGAGGTACTCTTACTGGGGGTGCTAGCACTGGCGGTGCTAGTTCTGGGGGTGCTCGTCCTGGGGACATTAGTTCTAGGGGTGCTGGAGCTGGAGGTGATAGTTCTTAGGAGACTGGAGCTGGAGGCACTGCTACTGTAGCGCCTACCCCACCTCTCCACCGCTACCCAACGAGTTTCCAGAGGCTTCGTCAGCTGGAGCGCGAGAAGCAGGAGCGGTTGGAGCAGGAGAGGCTGGGGCTGGAGCGGCAGTGGCAGGAGTTGCAGCAGCAGGCCCAGCAGCAGCAGCAGGAGCAGCGGCGGCGGCAGCAGCAGTAGCAGCAGCAGCAGCAGCAGCGCAGCAGCAACAGCAGTAGCAGCAGCAGCAGCGGCAGCAGCAGCAGCAGCAGCGGCATCAGCAGCAGTAGCCGCAGCAGTCGCAGCAGGCGCCGCCCTCGCAGCAGGCGCCGCTTTTGCAGCCGTTGTTTCCACCCGTGAGTGGCCTTCGGGCCCTTGGAGTTCCTTCCTCTCCTCCAGACCGCTCACTGTCTCCCCCTGTTTACGGTCCTACGTTCCCCCCCCCGGACTCTTCTGTAGCTGTCTTCTCTCCTCCTCAGTCACAGTCGTCTCCTCATGTTGTCCCGCACGACTGGACAGTGCGTTGTCCCGCTCGTGCACGTCCCTCGTCTCCTTTTGACGACCTCCGCACTGTCTTGCTTCGTTCGAGTCCCCGTCATTCTCCACCTCAGTCTGTTCTCCCGTCACCTGCTGAGTCGTCTTTTACAGCCTCCACGTCTACCCCTATCACTGACTACTACCGTGACACCCGTCCTGTTGTCACTCGTGTTCTCGCCTCTCTAGTCACGGACCCTCATGCCTCTCTGTCGTCTGTCTCGGCTCTTTCTGCCACTATCGCTGACTTTGCCGCCACTCGTCACCTTGACTACGCCACTCGTGTGGTAGCTGCCCGTCCTCTGTCCGCCGGGGGTGAGTCTGCCCTTGGCTGTGACGTCCTAGAGGACAGGCAGTTTGAGCTGGAGTTCTTGGCGGCCACTTCTCCCCATCTCTGTGCCATGCTGCTAGCTCTTGAGGGAGACCCCGACGCCCTTGACATACCGACTCCATGCACGTACCGTGAGGCAGTGTCAGGGTAGTGGGCTTCTCGGTGGATAGCGGCCATGGAGTCAGAGATGGTGTCTTGGAGATCCACAGGCACTTACGTCGACGCAGTTCCCCCACCTGGGGCG